ACTGTCCTCTGGCACTGACCTACATAGTGACCTTGCCTAATTTGCGAGATAAACGGCAGAGCACAATGTTGATGAGTTTATTTATTTGTTAATTTTTTTGAAGAACTACGGCACACATGAAGGTATGTACCATCTAATGCCCCGTTCACACTACAAGCTAAACTCAACAGCAAAGCGACACAATCCCATTCATTTCAATGGAGAGCTGGCGATTTCCGGCGACACGAGTGACAGTGGCCTTTGGCGACCAGATGGGGCGTGTCCAGCGACAAATTTCAGAATCCTTCAACTTTATACAAATGAAGAGTGACTTTCGGGAGCGACAGCCAATAGGAAAGAAGACGGTAGAGCTCATGTGATCGTTCTCCTCTCGCGCCGTAGATAAACATATGCAAAGGAAGAAAGTAGGCTCCGTTTCTCATTCATTTTTGTTTGTATGTACAGATTTAATTTAGATTTAGATTATATTTAGTCTTTTGCCTCCAAAATGTTTGTACTTAGCGGCAAGAAACCTGATTCGCTCTCAAGGCAACCAGTATTGAGAACACCCACTAGCAACCTCATCGCCAGCCGACAAAAGTCGCTGCTAGCGTGAACGGGGCTTAAGACTATTATTCCAGTGAGAGATCGGACATGCTCCAGTTTTATGTCACCGGCGCAGTGTTTCCCTGCATTAAAACATGTGAGCTGCTGTATTGCTCACCCCATGACCAACTGTGTCGGGAAACATTATGTGACCCAGATTAAACCAAAAGATCACTTTGTGATCACTATAAACCACAGTCTCATGGTTTACCAGAAGAATATGATGAAAGACACCAATGTTTAATAAATAACTTGTTATGATTAATAATAATCACCATTACATTATGTATTATTAAAAAAAGGTGGTGTTTGCCCATGAAAACATTGCTGCATATAATAACTAATAAATACACGAAAACACTAAAACTAAGTAAAATTAAAATAAAAATTATAAATGAAAAACTAATTAAATTATTTAATTTCAGCAAAAATGTATAAAAACTATAATAGTATCTCAATTATACTAAAATAACACTAGTTTACAGTGGTTGCCAAATATGAATAGGTTATGATGGTTGACCATGGAAAATATGAAGTTATTTAAGTCAACTTGTTTAAACCGATTGCGTAAAAAACCCAGTTGAAAAAAAAGATTGAAAAAGAAATCTATATAAAAGAAAAAACTGAGTTTTTTTATTTATTTGAGTGTTTCTTAATGTACTGTGCTTTAAAACCCTCCTGGAAACATTGTGTTTAAATCCATCTAATTTAAAGCACCACTGCTACAGTCATGCACATGCAAACATGCACATGATGTATGTGGACTATATTTAAGTGTGCTACCATGAGCACTGTGTTTTAACTAAAAAAAACTAACAAAAAAACCCCATTAATAAACCATTCCACAATTAATTTATTAGCCTAAACACAAGCGATATTGCGGATTTTTTGTTTGGCAGATTATTATAGAATTCAACCGATGGTGCATGTGCACTAATATATTTCATAAAAATAGTTTGAACCGATTCATGGAAGTACTGAAACTCAAATGCCATTGTGCTACTTAAATTAGAGATGCCTTTTAAAATCTCTCATATTAACAGAAACTTAACCAAAAAAAAAAAAAAAAAAAAAGACAGCTACGTGCAAGTATACCACAGAGCATAGGCTAACATCTGATACTTTAATTATCGGTCACTGCGTTTATATTAGTTTGTTTTGCACATGGTTAAGGTTCTAAAAACAGCATTGACTTTAACGGAAATCCACCAGCAGGCCGTATAAATGATGGACGTGGCATGGTAACATTAGATGGAAAGATATAAAACTGCCTGGATGAGAGAGCAGCGCTGGCCTTTCGCTCTCTATAGGTCAGCTTTATTTGAAGTGTGCAGTATGCAGTGTGGCAGCGCTGACACATGCATTCTAATTTCAGAGTGCTGCACTAAGACAAGCTATTTGCCAGCAACACAAAAAGTATCCCCCAAAAATTGATGACGTTCACTCAGCAATTACTGGGCTCAGCAAGTTCTCATGCTTCATTTACATAATAATCATTGCCTAGAAATTGATCAACAGTCAAAAATGGTGCTTATGCACACCAATCAATGTGAAATTACATATAATAAAACAAACAGATAAAGCTTTAAAGTTTATCTATGTACACACTAAATGCACACTGATTCAATAGTATATGAATGAAATAACTAGCTAAATGGCTACATAAATAGCTTACAGTTACATTTATGAAATAGTGCGCAACAGTTGTTTTTTCTGGAAGTACAAATTAATTTTCTCCATTGGGGAATTAATTTTTAATGGTAACTTATAAACAGTTAAAGACAGACCTCTTTTGAGCTACAAAGTTGTTAATCAATAGTATGTAAGCCATTAGCCCACACTGCTTCAACTTATTTCTAAAAGAATCGTTTTTAACAGTGGAATTCCTGTTGAAAAACTACATTACCCATGATTCGGCAGAAAAATCTCCACCAATCAGAGAATCATGACCTAAACAAATTGCACCAAAAGATTCGTCCACTCCAATGAACCGCTGCTAATGACATCCCTAAACTCACAAAGTAATTAAGGGTGCTTTCACACTAGCACTTTTGGTGCGCACCCGGGTTCAATTGATGTCAGAGTTTGGTTCGTTTGGATGATGTCCGAACTCGGGTGCGCACTAGTGGTCGACCAATATTGTTTTTTTGACAGCCGATGCAAAACCGACATTTTTTGTATTTATTTTAATTAATATTTAAGAAGTTTGAAATCATTTGAAAATGGATTAAAAAACAAATTTGTAAAATAAACATACTTATACTTTATATTTAAAAATATAAATATAATTAAAAAGGAAGTAAACTGTAACCAACAGAGCACTCAGTATTCTGGGAAGTTTGTATGCACTGGGAATCATATTTTTCCAGATAAAGCCAAGGTAACACTCATTTGACATGAATATGACAGTGGGCAAATGCATAAAGCGCAGCATAATTTGAAATCACAAATGTAATGTTTAAAGCATTCAATTTGCACAGACCGAAAGTCACGCAGAGAACACGCGATCATGCAGGTCACATGCACACTTAACAAGATCTCACAACTGGATTCAACTAAGTTTGCAAGTTTTGTGAAATTAAATTTTCATTAGCCATTCAAAGATTTGTTTAAATTATGTAAATGCGTATTTGCTGAATGCTGACGGCAAATGAGAAAGTATTATAATGTTTGCCTTTCTATTACTAATAATATAAAAGCAATCGTTATAATACTTTTTGTATACATTTTAATTCCTTTGTTTAACAGTTCATCTAAAGTCTACTTTAGACAGAAATACTTCCTTTGTTTAACATCGGATTATTAGACGGACAGAACTGTTAACGAAGACGGCGAACAAGAGGGAGTATGTGAGCACTGTGTGCTCAGGTGCTGCAGCTCTCAGCGCAGTCAAAATAAAAGTCCCGCCCTGAACGCATTGGCCAAACAGAAACCGAGGCCAATATTTTAAAAATGACAAATATCGGCCGTGGCGATATATCGGTCGACCACTAGTGCGCACCCGCGAACCGTACCAGAGTCCGCTTAAAAAGGGTGGTCTGGGGTACGGATCATGTGAACTCCGGTATGGTTCGCTGCTGACGTGAACACAATCGTACCAAATCGCGGAAGTGAACCACTATTAATGACGTATTATTTGATAAAAATGCGTGTTTGTGTGCGTTTCACTCACTTTCCTGATGAGCGTAACTGACGCGCTGCAAACAGACAGCTGTACATCTAATTTCTGTTAGCCTTCAGCATTCTTTAGAGCATTTGCAGTACATTTGTAAGACAGACGTAAGTGCCGTTATGTACCGAAGCTTTGTAAACAAAACGAACGGTTCAAAAACTTAAATGTATAAAAGTGCAGAGAGCAATGTTATGCATTTGCCACCTTCTCCTGCGCCGTCGTTACCAAGCAACGGGGTAAACAGCTGCTGGCTTGATGACACAAACGCGGTTCGGACCCAAATAAAATAATATGAACGCAGTCCAGCGGGGGCAGGGGGGAGCAATCGAACTCGGGTTCGGATCAGGCAAGCAAACCAAGTGTGAAAGCACCCTAAATGTGTATACAAATGTCTAGTTTAAACAATATATATATATATATATATATATATATATATATATATACACACACACATATACACACACTGTATATATAAACCAACATCTTTAGAACAAAAGTTTCATATTTCTTCATTTTTAATTCGGTCATTTAATTTGCAATGCTTCATGTGGTTTGTAGTGTTGTTTGCTTCATGGCTTACAATGCATTAATGATTTGAGTGATTTTACAATACTTAAAAGTCATTAAATGTCCTTTAGGCATGCAAAATGCTCTTTGACATACATATTATAAAACAAATGGTTCCAGCTCTAAAATCCGTTGATATGACCACACATTGAATTCGATAACTAGCTAAACTGCGACATATATTGGCTACAGTTACACACATGAAATATGTTATTTGGTGGAGGAATCGCAATTACTGTATTGTCTGGGATATAAAGTCACTATGATTTTGTCACTTCTAGATTCTAAATTTTGATAAGATGAACTGTGTTTGAAGACGTAAAATGTATGCGACTGCAATTCTATAGTAATGAGCCAAGTTGCAATGTTGGAATTATTATTAATAAACGTAATTATTTATTGAAAATGTATGTCTTTTATCATATTGCTGTTGCCGTCGTTTAATAAAACCAAGAAAAATGCAATGAAATAGCGATTTTACCATAGTTAAAGGCATTCCACCAAACTTCGTTCCTTAAAACATCCCATAGCCGTGCTAAATGCTCTTTGAATTTATATATGAAACTCAAAACATTACTCAATAAATATTTACTCATAAAAGGACTAATTAATGAAAATACAGCATGATCCATGTCCTCACATTGCTGCTTACAAAAAAAGATACGTCAAGTCTTACCTTCAGCGAGTCGAAGCAGGCGATCACCCGTCCGTTCTCCACCTGGCAGCTCTTGGGCGGGTGAGCGAATTTGCATTCCTCATCGCTGCGCGAGCACGTCCCTCTCTGAAACTGCCGGCACACCTCGAGCGTCAGCCATTTTGTGTCTCGCATCGACGCAATGTTTAAAGCCATAGCTGTTTGAGAACCTCTACGGTGTCAGTAGCGGGACTGTTGATTTGGGTTCAAAAGTCTGTGAACGTATTTCTGTGTTGTTTTGTGGTTTGTTAGCAAGGCCCTTTAAATAGAGATGTCACATTCAGACCCCCGGTGGCTGTCGCACAGGAGATGGCTGCTATCAGTGAAGCTGTCAAATCTCTGCCAAGTCGTTCATCAGTCATTTATTCCCAGGTGCACAACACTGCCGCGACAATAAGAACATGCTTCAGGTCTCCAAATGGTCTTGAGCCGATGGTTGTGGACAGCAATATCTGAAGGCAATGGCTCTCCTTGGAATGATATCTAATAATGTCCGTGAATGGAAAGAGCTTGTCAGTTCCTTGTGCTTTGGCAAGTCTGAGGAATTGAGATCTTTTTGGAGGCCAAGCCAGTGTTGTTTACAATGTAGGATGAGAGCGGTGAGCAGCTTCAAGTAGGAATGTCAGAGAAGGCACTTTCTTCTGTACGGGATCTGGAAAAGAAGGCCCAGATTTGATTTGAGTAAGAAACATGGACAACATAAGCTTTCCTCATGGATTTGACCATTTCTAGGTGGCACAAAATTGATTTTCTTACATTTAAGTATTAATTTAAATATGTCTAGTGCTCATGGAGCAACTGCTAGGGTCAGAATATTTAACAAAATGACAAAAAAACATTTCAAAACCACCTATTATGAAGCTTAAAGTAACCTAAAATAAGAAAATAAATATTTTAAATAAAGGATAGCATATTAAACCACCTAAAAGAAATAATAGACAGATGTTTTCCTGGAAATTTGAAGCATTGCTGTTACCTAATCAGAGGCAACATATTTACAGTTAGTAGGGTTGGGCCGATAGACAATGCCATCTTCCATCGCCGATGGCTGATAGACATCACGATGTTGAGCCGACATGTTTTAATTAAAGTAGACATATTATGCCCCTTTTTACAATATGTTATATAAGTCTCAGGTGTCCCCAGAATGTGTCTGTGAAGTTTCAGCTCAAAATACCCCACAGATCATTTATATGATTTTGAAAATGCCTATTTTGAGAGGAAGCAGATACACACTGTTTTTTGTGTCTGTCTCTTTAAATGCAAATGAGCTGCAGCTCCCTGCCCCCTTTTCCAGAATAGAGCTGCACTATTACAGCTCGTACCTGCTAAAAAACATGTTTTGGTTCTGATTATCATGTTTATCGCGCTGAAATCATGCGTTTTAAACCATATTAGTTTAAACTTCTGATATATGGTTTTCTGAGTACACACATCTGAAGCACACGGACAGAAAGCGGCTGTCACAGCATGTGAGTACTAAACTAAGTTCTCATTCACACACAAGTTTACGTTAAAAACACATGAGTTACAAAAACAGTCGTTCTATGAAGGTAAACAGCTGGGAAATAAACTGCATGTTTATTTTAGATCTGTGTGGCAGCAGCAATATACAGTAAATAAATCAATAAATCCACTGCTCTCTTGTATCTGAGGCTGGGACTCTAAATAGTGTTTTGTGCTCGTCTGTGCAGCCAAAGGCAGAACAGTTAGCATGTTTTGCTCAAACTTTTGCCATGGCATTAGAACTGGTACACCGTTGTCACTTCAAAATCAAAATGACGGTGCCGTGGGTGGAAACTTACAGATTAATGGGCGGTAATATTATAATGAGATCCCTTTGCAATGTCACTAGGGGAGTGAAATCAGACGTGCTCGCTTTTTCAGACGCTTGCAGAAAAAGGCTTACCAAAACAAAGTTACTGGGTTAATCGGTTTCACGTTTCCTTGGTTAGTAAATGCACCGGGGACCTGATTATAGCACTTAAAACTAGAGATGCACCGATTGCAAATTTCATGGCCGATTCCGATTTCTGACTATTTGTTAGTGTGATCTGCCGATACCGATTTTTGCCGATTCCGATTTTCTTTCTAAGAACTATAATTGACAGCATATACAAACAAAAATCTACTTTTTTTCAACTCAAAGTTTTATTTTCATAAAAAAAACAAGTAAAAGTCAGTAATAAAATAAGAACAAATTAAAAAAAATTTGCAAACAACAGCACAAATAAATGCAATAGAATAAAGAGAGCTATGAAACTAAGTTTTTCAGGTTAAGTAAGTTTTTATTCAGTTAAGAAATACTACAGAAATTAAAGTAATCAAATGTAAAATAACACATCCAGTGTTGTTTTATATTTGATTACTTTCATTTCTGTAGACTTCATTGTACAAATTAAATACAGGTTAATGCTTACCATTAAAGTTATAAAACGTATTCAGTCAAGAGCAGAAAATAATTTTCTTTGTCTTTTGTTCTTTGATTAACATGACTCTGTAGACTTCATTGTACAAATTAAATACAGGTTAATGCTTACCATTAAAGTTATAAAACGTATTCAGTCAAGAGCAGAAAATTATTTTCTTTGTCTTTTGTTCGTTGATTAACATGACAGACAGCAGCATAAATATACTGTTACACAACATGCGTTCTTTTTCTCAACTATTTAACGTTCCAAAACTGACTGTGTTTAACTGGATACTCGCCATGACAATGTTGTATGTATTTGTATGTATGTACTCGTTTTGGTATTTGTGGTTCCCAAGCTGTTTGAGACTGAGCGCGGCTTGTGCGCTCCACTAATATAGATCAGTGGTGGTGAGCGAGCGTTTGGTCTAAGTGCGAAACCTGCGGAAATGACTCAAATAATGCGCAATACAAGCACTATTTAACCGGAGCGAATGAGACGTGTGTGTATGTGAGAGAGAAGGGGTCGTTGGAGAGAAGAGAGCGAGAATGCACGGCTGACGTTATTGCCTGTGCCGCTGGTAACAAAACGGATCGGCTCGAAATCGGAAAGAAGTGAGACTGGCCGGCCGATCACCGATCCGGGCTGATCATGAGGAAAATCGGCCGATTCCATTAACAGTTAAGGTTCAGATAACAAGCAACGGTTGTCTGTCTGGAAAATTTATGAGAATGAGACCTAAATGAGAATCCCTAGTAGATAATCCCTTACAAACAAACAAACCAACAGACAGATAGAACGATAGATAACTAGAGACAGACAGATAAAACGACAGACAGATGGACAGACAGATAGAACAATAGATATAGCCAGAGACAGACAGACAGGAACAATAGATAGAACTATACATAGAATGGTAGATAGAACAATAGAGAGACAGACAGATAGTCATAGATAGAATGCAGAATGTTTCGTTTTTTAAATTCGTCACTAAACCTTGGCAGAAACTAGTCACCTCTGTCGGATTTACAGCAGCTTATAACATAACTACCACCGCAGGACTCAATTGTCAAAGAATACGCCGCCTCTGGCAAGACTTGTGAACCTCACACGGACCTTGCAGCTGAAATAGAGGTCTTTTCTTGGAACATCTGGAAATATTTTCTTGTGCAAACTGAAGGAGTGGAGGGGAGGTATGGGGTGGGGGTGGTGCAGCAGACGAAACAAGGCCATAAAAATCTGCAGCTGCCGTTTAAGATTCTCTTTGCTGTGTAATGACGGCCACGTCCCCTCCACTTAGAACAAAGCCAACAGACAAGTGCCAAACAATAACTACTGTGTGTATGGACCCGAACACTATACTCCTTTGAACCTTTTTTGGGTGACTATGCATTAAAGAAACAAGCTTGAACGTGCTCTGAGGTGCACTATAGAGGGGACGTGCCTGGGTTTGTCCTTAAAGGAATAATACCTACTCATATTATTTTTTTAGTATGCAATATGTAGGCTGATATTGCAAGAATGAAAGACCAGGATGACCTAGAAAATTTGCTAAAATGTGATGTATACAAACACACTACAGTGAATATCATATCCCACAATGCACTTTTCTCAACTTGTCCTTCTATATGAAGAGAATGAAGAGAACTGCATCTCTTTCTTGACTCATTATTTGATCAAACTGCAATAGAGTGGTGGAACTATGATGTCACTTTGTATGCAAAAACCCAGAAGCGAATTAGCATTTTAGCACTTCCGGTTCCATCGTCCCAGAGTCAATGGGTTTTTTTGAATGGGATTTTGGTTAAATCCCTAAAATAAGGTACATGATTCACACAAGCTCAAGATACTTTCACGTTTTATTCTACGACATAAAACACACATTACACCCCACTCGTGATTTTTTTAAACTATTACGTTTCTTAAAAAAGACGGTTGCTAACAAGTTGCTAAATGGGACTACAGGCACTGTCGCAGTTTATCAATTTACAGTATTTTCCAATCGTAGGATAATTTGTAATACAATTAATTGTAGACTTACCAGTTAATAGTTTCCCGCATTTTATATTGGTGTTCGACAATGTTTTTTTTTTGCTTTGCCCCGAAATGCGACAAGTGTTCGGATGGAAGATGCTCGTTTTATCACTTTCCTGCTGATGCGGAGACTCTGGGTCCGCACCATAAGGTAAACTCATATTACGATTATTCCATGTAAACACCACATTTATCGGCTTAGTCACGGGGAAAGTGAAAATTTAACAATGCATAGTGTTTAAAGCCACGTTAAATTTAAATGTTTACGGCCACATCAGTGACGGCGCTACACCGGGGCTAGAGGGGGCTATAGCCCCGTCAGAATTTTGAATAGCCCCGGTTTACTCTGACGTCATCAATATAATTTATTTTCTTAGCACCCCCACATATTGGTCTAGCCCCCCCTTAGCACCGGTAGAGAAAAAATTCTGGCGCCGTGCCTGGGCCACATGAAGCTGTTAGAAAGTATATAGATTGAGGATTTCCTAGAAGCAAGGATAAAATAATATTTTGTGTAGCCACCCTAACAAAATTATAGCTGAAATGTGGTACTTAATTTACTTTAAATAAGTTTAATCTTACCATATCCAAAAACTCACTCACTCACTCTGTTATTTAATAGATTATGCTGTTATTTAATAGATTAAATGCACTAGAATTTTATTGAATAGTACGTGGAGACACGTTTTTAATTAAAATATTCATATTAATCAAGGATTTATTTACTTTAATTGCACCTTATTTCGAAATATACAGAAATACGTGCTTTCATATGATTATTTCATTTATTCACTATACTATTTATTATAAATGTCTCAATTCAGTTTTAGTTTGGCTCTAGTTTTGTATTTATTCCAGTTTATATGAAAAGGTTCATGTAGCATGGATTAAAATTCATATACAGAGTAAATCCTTTTCACGGAAATAAGTTTGAAAAAGTTGTCAGGAGCAGGTGGTGGTGACTTTGAAGGCGAGCGACCGTGGTGCTGTAGTTCGTTTATAGCCTAAGTTAAGTTTAGCTATTAAGTTCTGGCGCTTTTATTCAGGCTTCAAAATTAAATTATTTTGTGAAGATTATCTTGATGGACAAAACTATAGGCTTTTTGTTGAGGGAACCAGTGCGATGCTAACAGCCGATCCGCCTACAGAGTGACGTCATAGTTCCCCCACCCTATACTTTAAAACATTTAAATAAAACAAATTAAAT